TTTTGAGTTGGAGTCTCACTCTGTCGCCCAGAATGGAGTGCAGTGGCCGCTCCTGGCCAGCGCAGCCTCGACCTGCTAGGCTCCGGCGATCCTTCCGCCTCAGCCTTCCAAGTAGCCGGAATTACAGGCATGCTCTACCACACCCGGCTGATTTTTTTTTTTTTTTTTTTTTTTTTATTGTAGAGATGAGGTCTCGTTGCCCAGGCGGGTCTCGAACCCGCGGACTCAGGCAATCCACTCACCTCAGCCTCCCAAAGGCACGAGATTACAGGCTGAGCCACTGAGCCCGACTTCTTTTCTTTTTTTTAATTTTTGAGTTGGAGTCTCACTCTGTCGCCCAGACTGGAGTGCAGTGGCTCTGGCCACCGCTGCCTCGACCTGCTGGGCTCCAGCAATCCTTCTGCCTCAGCCGTCCAAGTAGTTGGAACTATAGGCGCGCGCTACCACGCCTGGCTGATTTTTTGATTTATTGTAGAGATGAGGTCTCGCTACCCAGGCGGGTCTCGAACCCGCGGGCTCCCAAAGACGCGAGATTACAAGCTGAGCCACCGAGCCCGGCTTCTTTTTTCTTTCTTAAGAGATAGGGATCAGGCATGGTGACTCAAGCCTGTAATCCCAGCACTTTGGGAGGCTGAGGGAAGAGGATTGCCAAAGCACACAGGTTTGAGTCCAGCCTGGGCAACTTGGCAAGACCTCATCTCTACAATAAATGAAAAAATTAACTGGGTGTGGTAGCGCGCACCTGTAGTTCTGGCTGCTTGGAAGACTGAGGCGGAAGGATCGCCAGAGCCCAGCAGGTCGAGGCTGCAGTGGCCGGGAGCGGCCACGGCACTCCAGCCTGGGTGACAGAGTGACACTCCAACTCAAAAAAAAAAAAAAAAAGAGATAGGATCTCCCACTGGGTGCGGTGACTCACACCTGTAATCCCAGCACTTTGGGAAGTGGGGGCGAGAGGATTGCCTCAGTCCAGGGGTTTGTGACCAGCCTGAGCAACTTGGCAAGAACTCATCTCTACAAAACATTAAAAAGTTAGTTAGGCATGGTGGTGTGCACCTGTAGTCCCAGCTACTGGGAAGGCTGAGGCAGAAGGATCGCCTGAGCCCAGCAGGTCAAGGCTGTAGTAGCTGTGATCGTTCCACTGCACTCCAGCTTGGGCAACAGAGTGAGACTCTCAATAAAAAAGATAGGGTCTCACTCTCTTGCTCAGTCTGGAGTGCAGTGATGTGATCATAGCTCGCTGCAACCTCAACCTCCTTGGTTCAGGCGACCCTCCTGCCTCAGCCTCCTGAATAGCTGGGACTACAGGTGTGCACTACCATGTCTGGCTACAGCACTGTTTCTTGCAACAACCGTCACCACCCTGACGTGGCTGATCCTGTGAGGGGCATCAGCCTGGCCTTATCTGATCCCAGCTCTGGCTCTGCGGCCTGGACCAGCAACCGCCCCTCTCTCAGTCTTCATTTCCTCATCGGCAAAGTAAGGGCTCTAAGTGCCTGTCTCTGCCATGCAGTGACACAACTCCAGCAGCACCAGCCCTTGGGCATGCAGGGTGATCCCCTGGCACCAGGCAGAGCCCAGGCTGGGAGCTCCAACAGCCCCCACCCACACTTTAGCACCCAGATGCGCTGGAAACCAAGAACGTTGTTCCAACTGAGGTCTGGGGAGCTGCCCCGGACCCCACTGGGGGCAACTGCTACATCTGCCTGTCTCATCTCCAAAACTCCTCCTTCCTGGAACACAGTCAGCCCCAGCCTCCAGGTGAGGGGCCTAAGGAGCCATGTGGCTGCTGTCAGGGGCAGAGAGACCTCTAACCCTGCCTCTGTTTCTGCTACTCCCTGGCTGCATGACCTCTCACCTACCTGGCACCTGCAGCCTCAAACCCAGGCTTCGAAGGCCCCTGCCTCACCACAGGCTCTGTGCCCTTCCCAGCCCCGGCTGCAGTGTCCTCAGCCCGAAGCTCTTGGCAGACCATACTCTGGGGCCTCCCACCTCGTCCTTACTGCACACTGGTGTACCCCTGAGTCCCAGTGAAAGTCTCTCCTCTGTGGCATTGGCATTGGTGGTGAGGCCCAGAGGAGATGACCCTCCGGAGGTGGCTCCCAGCTCTGCCTTCCCACCAGCAGTGTGGCCTTGGGTGTGCTGACCTCTCTGCCTCAGTTGCCTTCTCTGAAAAATGGGTACAATGCCGCCTCCCAGGGCCCTTGAGATCGCACAAGCTGATGCAGGAACAGGGCTCGGGGCTGGGCTTGCACAGAGTCCATCTTCTGGAGGTTGCGGTCACAAGCAGAGCCATGTCCGGACACTGTTGTCATGTCATGGGGTAGCACGGTCACCATCCCCTTGACACTCCTGACCTGCCTCCTCTCTAGCTGGCGTGTGGCCAAGACGGGCAGCTGAAGGGCTTCGCGGTGTTGGAGTACGAGACAGCTGAGATGGCAGAGGAGGCGCAGCAGCGGGCGGATGGCCTGGCCCTGGGGGGCAGCCACCTGCGTGTGTCCTTCTGTGCCCCCGGGCCCCCCGGCCGCAGCATGCTGGCTGCTCTCATCGCTGCCCAGGCCACAGTGAGTGTGCGGGCGGGCAGCCCTTGGGAGGCAAGCCTGGCCAGCGGAGTGCTGAGCCTGTGCCTCCCGCAGGCCCTCAACCGTGGCAAGGGGCTCCTTCCTGAGCCCAACCTCCTGCAGCTGCTCAGCAACCTGGGGCCGTCCGCATCCCTCCAGCTGCTGCTCAACCCCCTGCTCCACGGCACCACGGGCGGCAAGCAGGGTAAGGCCATAGTGGGCCCCAGTGCTCCAGACGGGCATAGTTGCTGCCCCAAGAATGTGGGATTCCAGCTCTAGCACCAGACGCGGGTTGTGCTTCATGGTGGGGGATGCGGGGACCACTGCCCATCCCCCTCTCTCTCCCCCCCAGGCCTCCTGGGCGCCCCCCCGGCCATGCCGCTGCTCAGCGGGCCTGCCCTGTCCACTGCGCTGCTGCAGCTCGCCCTGCAGACCCAGAGCCAGAAGGTAACACCCACCACCCTCACCCACCGTTCTGCAGTCCTGCAGCGGTCCATCCCAATACCGCTGGCCACCAGGAGTGGGGTTTCAGGACCTGGGGCTTGGTCCCTTTATCCCCTCAGGGCAGGGTTTGCCTTTCCTTCTGCTCTGGGAGGGACCCTGGCCATGGTGACCAGGGCAGAGAATCTGGACACACTCATTTATAGCCTGGAAATAGATGTGGGCTGGGAGGGCCCCGCCAGATACCTGTTTGTCAACAGACTCTGGGGAAGAAAGTCCGGGCTCCCCTCAACACACGTGTAGACACACAGGCATGCATGGACTCACAGACACAGATATGCACACACAGATGGACACACATCCAAGCTCCGTTCTGTCTGGTTTGGTTCTACAGGGCCTAGTCAGTGACATGGGTGTGTCTTGTGGTGACTGACAGAATGTGTGTAGGTTTGGGCCCTGAGTGACTAAGAGTGACTGAAGCCCAGTGTGGCTGTCATATCATGTGGCTGCAGTTGATACTGCTGTGACCATCGACCAGGGCTAGGTGTTGGGACGGGTGCCTAAGAAAGACTGTCCCTGTGTGCATGTCAGATGGTGGTGGACAATGTGGGGTGACAGGTCCTGACATCATACTTGTTCCCTGTGTCTCCCAGGTGCCTATCTAGGACAGGGCCTGGCGTACAAGAGACCCTCTGTTACCATTGGCTGATAGAACGGGTGATGGGTGGGGTGTTGCAGGCACTGGGGGACCTTGTGCGTGTCTGCTTATGACTGACTGTGGGCAGAAGGCTGGGTGTCCCAGCATGGTGACTGCCAAGGTGCTGGATGACACCTGTCTGCTGCCCAGGCCACACTGCCCATCTCCAGCTGTCTGTGCTCTATTCTAGAAGCCCGGGATCCTGGGAGACTCACCCCTGGGCACCCTCCAACCTGGGGCCCAGCCGGCCAACCCCCTCCTCGGGGAGCTATCTTCAGGTGACATAGCCCCTGCCCATGCCATCTCCCCAGGTGCCAGCCTGTGTCCCCTTCCTGAGCCCCTTTCCTCCTTGGCAGTGGGACGCTCCCAGCTGTGTGGTCTCTCTGGTCCTCAGTGTCCTGGTGTCAGTTGGCCTCCACCTCATGAGGAGGCCATGAGTTTTGTTCAGCCATCAAGGAGCTGCCCCTTGGCAGCAGGTCCAGTGTGCCTAGCTGCTGAAATCCCCCTTCTCTCTGTAGGGGGGAGCCTGCCCCCGGAGCTGCCATCCCGGCGAGGAAAGCCACCACCCCTGCTGCCGCCACTGCTTGGTCCCACTGGGGGTGACCGGGAGGCTGTGGGCCTGGGTCCCCCTGCAGCCCAGCTCACTCCTCCCCCTCCCCCCATGGGGCTCCGAGGCGCTGGCCTCAGAGGCCTCCAGAAGGACGGTGGGCCTCTGCCGACGCCCCCCGGGGTAAGGCTCCACCCTGTGCCTGGCACCGTGAAGCCTCTCATCCCCCACAGCCCCCTCTC